AGTGTGTCAGGAAAGGTCGTAAAACGGGGCAAAACTGACAACGATTTCTCACTGAACAACATAAATTTTGGACTCAGTTGTATACGTAAGTGGAAGACCACCTGTAAACGGGGGAAAGTTATATTTCCTAACTATTGGAACTAACTAACTCTTTTTCTTTTGCTAATAAAATAATCACTGTAACAAAACAGCTTCGCGTTCTGTACTGCGTAACTCTGAACAAAAGCCACATGATTCAAAATTAATAGAGTACCTAAAACTCTTGTCACTTTCTTCCAAGATAGGAGTTTTTAAAAACAAGGGGGCACCCCTTGCGAAATATTTTGTTCACTCTTGTTCTTCAGAAGTCTGCAGCCTGCTATTTTGCTTTGTACACTGACTTCTCCCAAAAATCCACTTTGGCAGAAATTGTAGGAACTGTTTTTCCCAACTAGTCCTCCCTAAATCTTTATATAAGTAAAACAACACCGTTCTTTTAGAAGGGAAGCGGAATCAGATGACTTAAGAAAAGTCCAAAGTTTGCCAACAGAGAAGCAAACAGGCAGAGGAATGGAATTAATGGAAGAAAAACAGACCATTGACTGACTCACTGCATTATTTATCAAATTTGCAGGTTGCCAGTTTGATTCATCTCATGGCAATTTAATGAAGTCCCTGGCTGTCTGTAGGGGAAACACCACGAGAAATATGTAATTGAACTAAATGCCCTTTCGTTAATGAAGCTGGTTGGCTATTTTTCCAACAGACGTAAACCCCTGAGCTTTCAAAATTGCCATTTTAGGTCCTACTTGGTGAACATTTGAACTGAGCAACTCGTGGTTCCTGAAATGCAGCATTTCTTAATCTTGGCAACTTTAAGATATGTGGATTTCAGCTCCCAGAATTCCTCAGTCAACCATGTTTATAGTTCCCACTTATTCCCAGGCTAAAGCCACTTTAAAAACATAACAGAAATTATTTTACCTATTTGTTTATGTATTTAATATAGGTGACCACCCACACGTATGAAACGTATGAACTGTTATAGAAATTAGCTATGGCTAGTCTAGAGAAAAGAAGGACAAGGGGTGACATGATAGCAGTATTCCGGTATTTGAGGGGCTGCCACAAAGAAGGGGGGGTCCACTTATTTTCCAAAGCAACAGAGGGCAGGACAAGAAAAAATGGATGGAAACTAATCAAGGAGAGAAGCAACCTGGAATTAAGGAGAAACTTCCTAAAAGTGAGAACAATTAACCAGTGGAACGCTCACCTCCAGAAGTTGTAGGTCTTCATCACTGGAGGTTTATAAGAAGAGATTGAAAATCTGTTGTCTGAAATGATATTGGTATATGGTCTTCTACTTGAGCAGAAGTTGGACTAGAAAAGAGGTCCCCAATCCCTAGTCCACAGACCGGCACCAGTCCATGGCATGCCAGCAATCAGCCTGCGCAAACAAGAGAAGCCCCATCCACGGGATGCAGGCAGCACGTAAAACCACAGCCCCTCCAGTCCATGGGAAAAACTTTCTCTAAGGAACTGGTCCCTGGTGCTCAAAAGATTGGTGCTCAGAAGATCTCCAAAGTCAATAGTGGGATTCAGCCGGTTCACACCACTTCGGCAAAAATCGGTAGCTAATTTTTTGTTGACCAGGCCCAAAATGGACTTCCGGAAGTGGCACCCACACAGAGAACCAGTTGTTCACCTATTTGAATCCCAAGGTCCCTTCCAGGTTGATTGTGATTCTGATTCTGATTCCCCCCCAAGTAACTTAAGTGGCAACCAATTTTTTTTTAAAAAAATAAAACCAATCCAAATTAAAATACAAGAATCAATCGCCTGTCAGAATCACCCAATCCACCATGAATCAATTAATTATTTAAAATTATTTAAGAAACAACCAACAGAAAGCCTAGCCTGGAAAAGGCCTCTGGGATCTTTGCAATTGGGGAAAAAAAATGTGATGAATGTTTGCATATTTAAGGGAAGAGAAAAGTGCTAGAAGAATTGCAAATAAGGGCCAGAAAGTGCTATTTAAATATAGATTCTTAGAGCCATTGCTTTACACACAGGTGCAAAAGACGGGGGGGGGGGGGGGTAGGACAGCTGTTTCTTATTCTGTAATACATTTACTTCTCAGTTTCCAATTGTAGTGCTTTGATTTTGGACAACTGTTCTTTAAAAGTCACTGGAATGGTTAATCGCTTTGACTCAAAGCGAGCATAAGAAAGTGGTGAGAGAATTAAATCCTTGCCATGGAATTTTCCCTTGGGAGACGTTTCGACAATGCCAGAGTAGCCAAGAATAGTAAACTTTAGATAGACGACACTATGATTCTTCTACACAGCCAGGGTGGATATTTCTGCACAATGAGTTCCCATCACGAGCAGGTCAAGGGAAGATTGTGTCCTATTAAGAATATCACAGTTCAAAAAAGGACAGGGACAAATTTGGAGTGAATTCAGACAAAATAGATGAAGCCATCTCAGAAATAGCTAAAGGAATTTTCTATCAAAGTTCTAGATTCAAGAAAAGTGCAATTTATCCATTTTCGAAAAGAACTTTCCCCCCTCCTAATAAAAAAAGACCGCAAGATATTTGTAGCATGGATTCCACCCTGGGTTTTTTTTTTACAAGTAGAAAACCTTATTTTTTATGTACGGTTGGATACATTGTTATGACATGATTAAACGAGTACGTGATTTATTTAGGCGATTTATATTAATGTAATATATCAAGAAGGGGGTTCCAGCACTATAATTGACGTACGCTTTGTACAATTTAATAATTAATTAATCTGTTGTATAGTACTGTTTTTTATTTAATTTTTTTTTAAAAGGTAAAGGAGCTGGTAATGATATATTTAGTATATCAACTGGCAAAGATATGATTGCCTTCTTCTGAATTTTTTTTTTTTGCACAGAAAGGAACTGGACTTATTCTGCCAAAGTGGTGTAAACCGGCTGAATCCCACTAGAACCAAAAGGTTAGAAGAATAAAAAGGATATTCAGAATAGACATCAGATGGAAATCCAAACTCTACAAGGTCTCTGACAGTGGAACAAGCTGGCTCTTTTATGACTTGTGGACTTCAACTCCCAGAATTCCTGAGCCAGCATGGCTCACCTTAGAAACCTCTCCCTTTCCCTTCAGCATGGCTGGCTCAGGAATTCTGGGAGTTGAAGTCCACGAGTCATAAAGGGGCCTAGGGCAGGGATAGGCAACCTTGGCTTTTTTTATGACTCGTGGACTTCAACTCCCAGAATTCCTGAGCCAGCATGGCTCATCTTGGAAACCTCTCCCTTTCCCCTCAGCATGGCTGGCTCAGGAATTCTGGGAGTTGAAGTCCATGAGTCATAAAGGGGCCTAGGGCAGGGATAGGCAACCTTGGCTTTTTTTATGACTCGTGGACTTCAACTCCCAGAATTCCTGAGCCAGCATGGCTCATCTTGGAAACCTCTCCCTTTCCCCTCAGCATGGCTGGCTCAGGAATTCTGGGAGTTGAAGTCCATGAGTCATAAAAGAGCCAAGGTTGCCTACCTCTGGGCTAGATGATCTTCCAAGCCATAATTCTGTGAAAAATATTGTGCATTTATTCCACCTTTTTCTAGCAGGAAAGAACACGCAACAAGCCAACAAAGGAAGGGTATAGGTGGAAGACAACATCACGGTTCTTCTGTAACACCCAGTGAATGAAACAGGGTGATTCCATGATTAAAACAATGTCAGCAAGCATCCAGTATTTCTCTTTCAGACCACCACCCCATACAACTGGGCAAGAGTTTATTTTTAATCAATCCATATTTTATTCTAATCTCAGACCAGAATAAATAAATAAACATACATTTTTAGTTTCTTAGGTCAGTGATCCAGCCTTTTTTTCAATACAACGCAAAGTGCCTTTTGCACGAAGCCACTGTGTAAAATGACAGGTGGGTATTTACTTAGAATAAACACAGTTTTGCAGATAAATATCTCTCTCCCTCATTTTTCTTCTACTAAAATCACACAAAAGACATATTATTCCTACAAAACCACTACAGGTAGTCCTCAACCACAACCGAGCTCAAAATTCCTGTTAAGAAGCGAGACAGTTGTTAAGTTTTGAGTTTTGTCCCGTTTTACGACTTTTCTTGCCACAGTTGTTAACCGAATCACCACAGTTATTAAGTCAGTAAGCCAGTTGTTAAATGAATCCACCATTGACTTAGCTTGTCAGAAGGTCGCAAAAGGGGATCACATGACCCCGGGACACTGCAACCGTCATAAGTACAAGTCAGTTGCCAAGTGCATGCGAATTTTGATCACGTGAACGTGGGGATGTGCAACTGTCAGAAGTGTGAAAACCGGTCATAAGTCATTTTTTACAGTTCCATTGTAACTCCGAACAGTCACTAAATGAACTGTTGTACGCTGAGGACTAGCTGAATTTACTTGAGATAGAAAACAAAAAGGAGGACAAAGAAAAATTACAGGAGTTCTTGCAAATAATCTCTCTTTGGAAACATGTTGATTAAAATTGGTGAGCGAGCTACACCCTCAAGGTCACAGTGATGCCAGAATCACAAGAAGATACAATAAACCAGTGTTGGGATTCAAACATGTGAACAACCGGTTCTCTTGTGTGGATGCCGCTTCCGGAAGTCTATTCTGGGCCTGGGCAACAAAAAAAATTAACTACTGATTCTGCCGAAGTGGTGCAAACCGGCTGAATCCCACCACTGCAATAAACCCAATGCTAGATCCTTTCTTCAAACAGACTCTCTGAAGAGTTACGAATGTTTTTTTTTTCAAATATGCAACTTCTTCAAAGAAGTGAAGAAGCTTCTTGGATGAGAAGCAAAACGCCTTCAAGGAAAAATAAAGTCCAGTTTGCCTTTTCAAAAAACACCTTTGGGGCCAAGCCTGTCCTGGATGACTGACAATGATTGACAGCTAAAAAGAAACTTGCATCCGACAATCTTCTGTTTGATAACTGGTTCCTGGGGGAAAAAAAAACATATACACCAAAATAGCCTTACCCTGTTGTCCTCTTGCGTCTCCCAATCGCTGGAGAACATGGCAGCGTGAGGCCCTTGACTGCAGTTGGAAAATTGGAAAAGGCTTGAAAATATCCTCCAGTTTTCCTGCGTATCCGGAAATATCGCATCCTGGAAATTTACCCCGTGTGGAAGGAGATTATAATTCTCATCCATTCTATAAAAGGAGAGGAAAGATCAAGATTAAAGGTGTTGTAGAATAGACTGGGGGGGGGGAAATATTCGGAAAGATATTGTGGGAAGTCAGCCCCCCAGAGAAGGAAATATTAAAAGGGCAGAAAAATATATTTCCTCAAAGGATCTTAAAGAGGCAGAAAAGCATGCCCAGTTTTTTTCTTAATAGTCTGTAGAAATGCAGATATAAACCATTCAGGAAGGTTGAAGCTAGAAGATTAAGAAGACAAAGAAACCTAAAAACTACATATCCCACCCAAACTCTAAAACAGGACATAATAGGATTAACCCACAGATACCAAAGGCCACACTCAGACTCAGGTCAAAGTTCATGCCACAGGAACAACTCCAAACAAAAGGCTCCAGAGGGTATAAAAACCCACTCCCTACATGTGCTCTCTCTCTCTTTTCTTCCAGAGCCATCTTCCTGTCTGGCTCTCCTCTGCAATAAACTGCAACCTTCTTTCTAAAGCAGTCGCCGTGTTGTTTATTCCCAGCTTGGACTGAACCACGATGAAGACTTTTCCTTCAACAATATATTTGCAATGGCAAAGCACCTCTATATTACAGTTGAAAACAGAGGAAAATTACACGGATGTAGCTTGTATGACTCAACTTGAAGAGGACTCCAAGATTACTGGAGGTTTTTAAGAAGAGCTTGGACAGCCATTTGTCCAGAATAGTATACAGTCTCCTGCTGGAGCGGGGAGGGGGGGAGGAAGGGCTGGACTAGAAGACCTCCAAGGTCCCTTCTAACTCTGTTTTATGAGTTGAGATTTTGTAGCTTCCTCAGCTCTCCGCCCTTGCTGACTTCCGCTGATCAAGAAAAACTAAGCAAAGCCAGATATTCTCAATACTTGTAGCTAAAATGGCGACCTAAAAAGACCACGGAAGAATATCATGGCAAGATGCTTCTATATAGTTGCAAAAAATAAATGAATATGTGTTAGGAGATCAGGAGTTGAATTCCTCTTGAGGAAGATTTTACTTTCCTTTAAAAAAAATTTTTTTATTTTTTTTTTGCATGGAGGGTAATGAGAGCTGATCTTCAACTCACCAGCCTTCATCTGGATACACATTGTGCTGGTCACACTAATAATAGCTCTAACCCTGAAAAAGAGGCTGTTCTATGTATCTCACAGAGTTATTTCGCTCAAATAGTGCAGTGTCTGAAAATGCACCCCTTCTTTATTTTACGTGTTGCTAATTACCAATAGGATATTTGTAGCTCAGGGTTGAATTGTGGGGTCCTTGCTGCTCTCTGAGCTTGTGGGGGGGGGTTCTGTTGCAGACGTTTCATGACCCAACTAGGTAACATCATCAGGGTTAGAGTGGAATTTGCAGAATGGGGGAGAAGGAGAGGAGGAGGAAGAGGACAAGTATCCTTGGTGCTCTCTGAGGGAGGTGGTGGTGGTGGTGGTGTGGAGGAGGAGGAGGAGGAGGAGGAGGAGGAGGAAGAGGACGAGGACGATGACTTGAGGGTCCTTGGTGCTCTCTGAGCTTGGCAGTTTTCTTGCAGACATTTCATGACCCAACTAGGTAACATCATCAGTGCTAGAAGGGAGGGGGGTTTGCAGAGAGGAGGAGGAGGAGGAGGAGGAGGAAGAAGAAGAAGAAGAAGAAGAAGGAGAAGGAGAAGGGGAAGGGGAAGGGGAAGGGGAAGGGGAAGGGGAAGAAGGGGAAGGGGGAGAAGGGGAAGGGGAAGAAGAAGAAGAAGAAGAAGAAGGAGGAGGAGGAGGAGGAGGAGGAGGAGGGCAAGGGGAAGGGGAAGAAGAAGAAGAAGAAGAAGAAGAAGAGGAAGAGGAAGAGGAAGAGGAAGAAGAGGAAGAGGAAGAAGAAGAAGAAAACTCAGGGGTCTTTGGTGCTCTCTGAGCTTGGCAGTTTTCTTGCAGACGTTTCATGACCCAACTAAGTAACATCATCAGTGCTAGGACAACCAAGCTCAGAATGTTATTCATTGCTAAACAGATTCCAAGGCTACTGTATGTAGGGATCCCCTGGGCCATCTTGATGGCCAAATCCTAAACTCAGAAATTGGCCTGATCCACCCTTTATTACACAGGGCAGGGAAGAACACTCATCCTGATTTATTTCTATTTCCAGAACATCATTTGAGAAAACCAGAGATCCAACATCTCCTTATCTAGGTAAAAGCCCAATGACACTGAAGAGTTCTTTTTCATGAAGATGGAACAGCTTCATCGTTCCTGGGATTCCCTGGTGGTCTCCCCTCCAAATTATTAGCCGACTTAGCTTTCAAACTCAGAAAGGTCATCCAGACACTCTTCTGAAAATCTCTGAACACGGAGAGTGTGGATAATGGAAAAACTCTGCTAGGTTCAACCAATTATGGTAGAGTCCCTCAAAGGTTGTCACAAGAGACTTGAGTGACGTACTTGGCTTTTTTTTTTCTAACTGCCGCATTCGGGCAGCTGAAAAAACTTCAACTTGGGAGGGAATAAAATGGAGAAAGATTTATAGCAGCCTTTCCCAGCTGACTGTTGTCCTTCAGATATATCGGAATGACAACGCTCACAACGGTTAGCCTGCACGCCTATGAAACTAATAGGAGAAATCCCAAAGGTGCTTTTTTTTTTCCAAAAGGCAACTGGAATTGTTTTTTTTCTTTGAAACATTTCGCTTCTCATCCAGGAAGCTTCTTCAATTCCGAAGAACTGAAGAAGCTTCTGGCAAAAGGAGCGAAATGTTTTCAAAGAAAAAAAATAAGAGTTGGAAAAAGCACTTTTGGGATAGCCATGACCTGGATGATCGAGAATCTCTAAAGACATTTAACAGGAAGAATCCTAGTTCGTATAGGGTTGAAACAGAAGAGGGCTCCCAAACTTCTTTCAATCAGAATAGAGCTGGAAGGGACCTTGGAGGTCCTCTAGTCCAACCCCCTGCTCAAGCAGGAGACCCTATACCAGTCTCTTCTTAAAAGCCTCCAGTGATGTAGAAAGGAGGGAGGGAGGGAGGGAGGAAGGAAGGAAAAAAGAATAGCATAATAACAGAGTTGGAAGGGACCTCGGAGGTCTTCTAGTCCAACCCCTTGCTCAGGCAGGAGACCCTATACCAGGGGTAGGCCACCTTGGCTCTTTTAAGATTCGTGGACTTCAACTCCCAGAATTCCTGAGCCAGCCATGCTGAGGGGAAAGGGAGAGGTTTCCAAGCTGAGCCATGCTGGCTCAGGAATTCTGGGAGTTGAAGTTTAGGAGTCATAAAGCGGCCTAGGCCTAGGCCAGGGATAGGCAACCTTGGCTCTTTTATGACTCGTGGACTTCATCTCCCAGAATTCCTGAGCCAGCCACGCTGAGGGGAAAGGGAGAGGTTTCCAAGCTGAGCCATGCTGGCTCAGGAATTCTGGGAGTTGAAGTCCACGAGTCATAAAAGAGCCAAGGTTGCCTACCCCTGGGCTATACCATTCCAGACAAGTGGCTGTCCAGTCTCTTCTTTAAAAAGCTCAGCATTGGAGCACCCGCAGCTTCTGGTGGCAAGCTGTTCCACTGGTTAATTGTCCTCACTGTTAGGAACTTTATCCTTAATTCCAGGTTGTCTTGCCTTCTGGTGCCTTGCTTCATTTAGACAAACTTTGCTTTAAACTTTGAACTTTTATAAAGTTGAAGCTTAAACTTAAACTTTGCTTCAGTTCAGACCAGAGGTGTCCAACCTCGGCAACTTTTAAGATTTGGGGACTTCATCTTCCTCAGCCAGGAGTTTTATGTCCACAGTTGAATGCTTCTGTTTTACATCATCGTAAATAGATGCAGAGTGTTATGCTGAGTGTGTTGGGCTGAGAAGGACGGTCACAAAAAGATTTACCCTTGGGCAGTTGAGTCCGACTCAGTCCAATTGTTCAACCTAACACACTTCCTAAATGAACATAGCAATAAAAACAGTGGGGGGAATCCTTCTGCATTACTCATTGCTCAGCTAGAAATTGGCATGTAAGTGTAAATCACCAGTAAAAAAAAACTCATCAAGGGCAAAGGGTTATTTTGTAGTTTAAGTGGGAATTCTAACCATCATCGCCTAAATCCCAGTCAGTCAGTCCTCTCATCCTGTAAGCAAAGTTAAAATCCGCACACCCAGAGTAGGAAAAGAGGCTGAGTTGGTAGAATCACAGTCCTTCTCACATCAGATTGCCGGCAGGTACGTATGTGCATCCGCGCATCTGTGCATTTTTAAATGTTCCTTTCAGTTACATAAATGTATCTCTGCACATGTACAGAAGATTGTTTTTCCGCCTGATGTGTCCTTTTAACTTCGTAACATCCAAAGAGCTGTTTGCTTTGGGGAACACTCAAAAACCTAGTACTGATGATGTTACTTAGTTCGGGTGATGAAACGTCTGCAAGGAAACCATCAAGCTCAGAGAGCACCAAGGATCCCACAGTCCTCCTCCTCCTCCTCCTCCTCTTCCTCCTCCTCCTCCTCCTCCTCCTCCTCCTCCTCCCTTCTAGCACTAATAATGTACCCTAGTTGGGTCATGAAACGTCTGCAAGAAAATTACCAAGCTCAAAGAGCACCAAGGACTACACAATAATAATAATACTTCTCCTTCTCCTTCTCCTCCTCCTCCTCCTCCTCCTCCTCCTCCTCCTCCTCCTCCTCCTCCTCCTCCTCCTCCTCTCTGCAACTCTCCCTTCCTTCTAGCACTAATAATGTACCCTAGTTGGGTCATGAAACATCTGCAAGAAAATTACCAAGCTCAAAGAGCACCAAGGACTACACAATACTCCTCCTCCTCCTCCTCCTCCTCCTCCTCTTCTTCCCCTTCTTCTTCTTCTTCTTCTTCTTCTTCTTCTTCTTCTTCTTCTTCTTCTTCTTCTTCTTCTTCTTCTTCTTCTTCTTCTTCTTCTTCCTCCTCCTCCTCCTCTTCCCTGCTAATCCCCCTCCCTTCTAACACTCATGATGTTTCCTATTTGGGTCATGAAACATCTGCAAGAAAATCACCAAGCTCAAAGAGCACCAAGGTCTACACAATAATAATAATACTTCTCCTTCTGCTCCTCCTCCTCTTCTTCTTCCTCCTCCTCTATGCAACTCCCCCTCCCTTCTAGCACTAATAATGTACCCTAGTTGGGTCACAAAACATCTGCAAGAAAATCACCAAGCTCAGAGAGCACCAAGGACGAAATAATAATAATAACAACAACAACAACAATAATAATCCTTCTCCCCCTCCTCCTCCCAGCAAACCTCATTCCCTAGAAGCACTGATGGTGTTACCTAGTTGGGTCATGAAACTTCTGTAAGAAAACTACCCAGCTCCGAGAACACCCCCATTTCAACCCTGAACTACAATATTCTCCTTTATTGGTACTCAAAAACATCGACCAGACCTTGAAAGCTGAAGGGCTACACAGAAGGCAAAACTCCCTCTCTGTCACGTTAAGTTCCAGGGGTTTCTCTCTGCCCTCCATCCTCAACTTGCTAAAGAGCCTTTTTAAGCCGAACAGGAGGTGTTTTTTTTTTCTATAGCAACGAGGATGCGGTCCAAGACCTGGGAAGCCTCTTGCAAACCGTGCAGAAGCAACTGCAGCAGGAAATCCCCACACTATTTTACTCTAGGCAACGTCGTCGTCTTTTTGCGGATGGGCAAATCTGCCTGACGGGCTCACCTGAGGAAGAAGAAGTAGGAATAATCTTGCACGACCGTGTGGGAGTGGCAGGAGAAGTAGCCCAGTCCGGTGAGGTTCAACCGGGACCCGGCTGGCACTTCCAACATGCTCCCCCAAGCTTGATCGCACAGCATCTCGATCTCGGCGGAGTAAAACAGCCCTCCGTCCATGGCTTCGTACTGCCAGGGCAAATAGTTGTACATGCTGTACATATCCTGGTGCAGAGCTAAGACTTTGGCATAGACAATCGTGGCCGCCAGCTCTGCTCGGCACCCTTCGCTCAGTGGCCTCCAGTCAGAGGGCAGCTGACAAGCCAGGCTGGATCCCAACTGCTGCCCAAGGAAGAGAAAACTTAGCAGCCACTTTCTTTGCTCCATGATGGATGAGGGCTGAGCTCTGGATGCTCCAGGCTCTCTGGGAACTATTTGTTTAAAGCACACAGACCTAAAGGGAGGCTAAGTTTGTGAAACAGGATGCCTGCGACAGGCAGAACCTGATTGGTAAAAAGCTGAATTTGGAGAGGTGGTCAAGGGCTCCGATTGGACCAATGGGGACCCTCTCTCCAAGGCAGGGAGGAGCGGTAACAAGAGACAGGAGACGTTTCTTTAGTCAGTGTTCAGCAGGGGTTGGAAAAGAAGGGGTGCTATGCCATCTTTCTGCCTCTTCTGGTGCAGAAGAAAAGGAAGAGGGAAGGGCCCCAAAGCAGAAGTAGCACCAGAGCTGAAAATGGCTCCTTGCCTGTTGCTTCTCATCCTTCTTGAGTTTTGCAACAGATTAAAAACAGAAGGACGTTGCAAAGGATCAGACAGATGCACGGGGGAAACGTGGAGGAAAGAAATTAGAAGGAATGTGTACGCTCAAGAAAGAGGCTTTAAACATTGAGAGGTTATAATGATGATAATGATGATGATGATGATAATAATAATAGTAACAGTAATAATAATAATAATAATAAATGGAATAACCTTGGATCATCTAGTAACCCCCTGCTAAGGCAGGAAACCCTATACCAGTGTTTCTCAACCTTGACAATTTTAAGGCATGAGGACTTCAACTCCCAGAATTCCACAGCCAGCATTGCTGGCTGTGGAACTCTGGAAGTTGAAGTCCTCATGCCTTAAAATTGTCAAGGTTGAGAAATACTGCCCTATACCATTTCAGACAAATGGCTGTCCAGTCTCTTCTTAAAAACTTCCAGTATTGGAGCATTCACCACCTCTGGAGGCAGGTTGTTCCCCTGGTTAATTGTTCTCACTGTAAGGAAATTTCTTCTTAGTTCTAGGTTGCTTCTCACTTTGGTTAGTTTCCACCTGTTGCTTCTTGTCCTGCCTTCAGGCGCTTTGGAGAATATTTGACTCCATCTTCTTTGTGGCAGCCCCTGAGATACTGGAACACTGCTATCATGTCCCCCTGGTTCTTCTCTTCGTTAAACTACTAGATCAATGATGGCGAACCTTTTAGAGACCGAGTGCCCAAACTGCAACCCAAAACCCACTTACGCCTCGTCGGGTGCCGGGTGGGTGTGGCCCATTGGGTGGGCGTGGCTGCGGTGGTAACGGCAGACTGGGTGGGACTAAAAAGTTCAATCAATCAATTCCAACTTTGCAAGATCTTTTTTTTTCCCGCGAGAAGTTGAAATGGACTGATTGATTGAACTTTTTTTTTGTCCATGGCAGCGGAGGCCTAAAGCGAAAAGGTTTTATAAAACCCAGCTGAAGGCCTAGGACAGGGGCGACGGCGCATGTGCCCACAGGGAGGGCTCTGAGTCCCACCGTGCCATAGGTTCGCCACCACTGAACTAGACATACCGAATTCCAGCAGCCATTCCTTATATGCTTTAGCCTCCAGTCCCCTAATCATCTGTGTTGCTCTTCTTTGTACTCTTTCTAGAGTCTCAACATCTTTTTTACCTCGTGGTGACCAAAACTGGATATCAATAAGTTAAGGAAGACTTCACCTTAAGAAAGTCAGAAGGAATCTAGCAGCCTCTTTGCCAACTTGCATTGAAAGGCAGCAGTTGCAGCTCAGTGATTTTTTAAAAAAAATAAAATTAGTTGGAAAAGATGCAAGCAGATTCCTTCGGATTTTTTGGTAGCCTACTAACACAGCTGAGCTTCTGCAGTGTTTTCAGAAAAGAAGACTAGGAGTTAAATGCAGAGAGAGAGCGCAAGAAAATGGGGCAATCATGCAACAGACATCTGAGGATTAACTTCCCAAAAAACCCACCTTGGAAAAGAAAAAACAACAACAATCTAATCTTCTCTTTTTGTTAAACAGATTTGTTCTTCTGCTTTCCTTTTTTAAAAAAAAAAAACCAATCCTCTTTCATAACGGGGTTTTTTGAAATAGAATTTGGTGACCTATATGAAGAAAGGAGAGTCATGGAATGAATAAGATTTTGTGACTTTGGGGTGTTGGTTTTGAAGGGTGTGATCCAGTCCTAACATAAAATTGCCCCATGATTGGACAGGATGGGTCAGGTCTAACTCCATAACTCAAAAGGAAAAAAGACTGCAGTATTTGAAGCCAAATACTGTGTGGGACAGACAGCAGATGACAAGAAACTGCCTTAAATTATACCCTTTAAACAGGGGTAGGCAACCTTGGCTCTTTTATGACTCGTGGACTTCAACACCCAGAATTCCTGAGCCAGCATGGCTCAGCTTGGAAACCTCTCCCTTTCCCCTCAGCGTGGCTGGCTCAGGAATTCTGGGAATTGAAGTCCACGAGTCATAAAAGAGCCAAGGTTGCCTATCCCTGCCCAAGGCTTTCTAAGAGATCTGTCCAAGGTCCTGAAACATTCTTGCTTGTGGAATCCTTGGTGCTCTCCGAACTTGGTGGTTTTCTTGCAGACATTTCATGACCCAACTAGGTAACCTCATCAGTACTAATCAATTGCACTGGCGATGTTACACAGTTGGATAAAAAAACACCTGCAAGAAAACAACCAAGTTCAGAGAACACCAAGGACTTGGTTCAACCCTGAGTTACAAATATTCTCATAAATTTGCTACATTATACGTAAGCTTCACCCGCAAATGGTTGCTAATAGTCCTTGTTATTAGGAGATACATTCATGGTGTTCATTTTACTGGTCGTTCTTTTCTTGGTCAATGACCAAAATAAAGTTCTGTCTGTCTGCCTCAGGTGGCTTTGCCAAGATAGCCTATGATGAAATTAAAATGTTCCCCCTATAAATCCTTTGCCCCCCTTAAAGGAATTAAAAAAAAACTATTTGATCCTGACAACAGTTGCCATTAAGAGATATCAAAGGGCTGCCTGGCTTCTTAAATTCAGGGTTGAATCCATAGATTTATTGCACAAAAGCCTGTTTTGACAGGAGCCATTAAACACTGTGAAACAGCAGCCATTCCAGCTGTCTTGGTCGTCCTATGAAACTGTACTCAGGTTTCATAAGCAGACTCTTGCAGGATTGGCATCTGTTTCCTTTTATGCTTATCATTCTGCTGAAATTAAAATTGCAGTAGGGCGCTTCACGGTGGAGTTTTCTGCGTGTCAAGTGTTCCAATATTTGAGAGGCTCCGTCAAAGACAAAGGGGTCAACCTGTTCTCCAAAGCAGCAGAAGGCAGGACAAGAAGAAATGGATGGAAACTAATCAAGGAGAGAAACAACCTGGAATTAAGGAGAAATTTCCTGTCAGTGAGAACCATTAACCAGTGGAACGGCTCACCTCCAGAAGTTGTGTGTGCTCCATCACTGGAGGCTTTTAAGAAGAGACTGGACAGCCATTTATCTGAAATGGTGTAGGGTCTCCTGCTTGAGCAGGCGGTTGGACTAGATGACCTCCAAGGTCCCTTCCAACTCTGTTATTCTTAAGTCAAGCACTAGCACACATCCTTAAGATTATTTGGATAGTGAATATACTTAGATATGAGTCCTAGACATTTTCATAAACAACCTCAGTATATAAAATACTGTTGTGATACTGGCTGAATAGATTGTGCAATCAAAATACCAACATTTACCACAGCCCCATCTTGACTTTCCTACTCTCCCCACCCCCCCACCCCAAGACCCCCTGTATCTACCCCTCCACAAGCCATTCTTATAATGGCATCTGTCTTAGAGGCAGGACTGATTCTGTTCTTCACCCAAATTAAGGACGCCCCGATGGACATATACAGATTTTGTAAATCTACAACAGCAGCCTGAACAAAAAATTTTATTTTATCTATCCGCAGAAGAAAGTTCCTTATTAAATAATGAATAAACTACAGAGGAGCTGAAAGACAAATCTCATAAGTTGGCCAAGCAAAAGAAATATTTTTTTTTCTTTTAGAACCTGAATCCAGCGATTCGATTAAGGTTGAAGACGGAGAAAGACAGAACGAGAAAAATCCTGCAAAATTCAGAAGGTGGGGAAGGGGTCCCTACCTCAGTGGTTCAAATAGCAAGGAAGAAAAATACCCTCTAATGTTCCAAGAACTGAGATTCAAATTCCTCCAGGGCAGTGGTTCTCCACCTGTGGGTCGGGATGCCATTTGGGGTCGAATGACCATTTCACGGGGGTCGCCAAACAACACAGTCCACCATTTTTTTCCCCCTTTTCCTTAGCTGTGGTACTCCCTTTTATTCTATTGGCTTTTGAAAGCCAATAGAATAGACTCTCTTGAATAGAGTCTAATTCTACTGGTTTTCAAAAGCCAATAGGAATTGTCCAGGCTGTCTCTGCCCTGCTGAGCCCGCCAAAAGTCCCATTCTGCAAACGGTGCTGCCCCAGTTGAGTAGTCCTCGACTTACGACCGGTTGAGTAGTCCTCGACTTATGACCGGTTGGGGGTCGCGGCATTAAAAAGGTTGAGAACCACTGCTCTAGAGCTGCCTTTCAGCCTACGAATGAATAATGCATTAATGTACCTTTCTTCATTAGGTCCCTTAAGCTGATCCTCTTCCAATATTCTGATCCCTGAAGTGGTGGAGTGATGTGAAGGAGTGGAGTAGAGTGGAGTGGAGTGGGGTGGAGTGAAGGGGAGTGAAGGAGAGTGAAGAGAAGTGGAGTGGAGTGGAGTGGAGTGAAGGGGAGTGAAGGGGAGTGAAGGGGAGTGAAGAGAAGTGGAATGAAATGAAGTGGAGTTGAGTGGAGTGGAGGGAAGGAAAGGAAAGGAAAAGAGAAGCGGAAGTGGAAGCGGAGAGTGGAGTAAAGGGACGGGGAAGGGGAAGGGGAAGGGAAGCAGAGTGAAGGGTAGAGGAGTGAAGTGGAGGGGAGTGAGGCATGCTGGCTAAGGAATTCTGGGAGTTGAAGTCCACAAGTCATAAAAGGGCCAGCTTTGAAGACCCCTGTATTAGAGAAACGTGAAGGAAGAACGTTTGACACTGACAATTCAGCATCAGCTAAGATAATAAGAGCTATCTTCACTCAGATGTGTGTATAACAATGTGTGCATCCTTAGTATCATACAACTAAGTGGCAATGTTCAAATGGGAATT